GCCTACTCTATGGCAACAGGTGAAGCAACAAACTGTCTGCACAGAGCCAAGCAAGCGCACACTACCAGTATCCGCCGAAAGATAAGAGAAGGTGCCCTTTCCAGCCGACAATGGTGGACAACCGTCAAGCGAGCAGGTGGGCAAGGACACCGCTCTGCAGACATACCTGTTCTGCGTGCGTCGAACGGAACTGAGCACACCACGTGCAGCGAAAAGGCCGAAGCATTCGGGATTTCTTCGCAAAGTGCAGTCTTGGTGACAACGACTTGCAAGCCTACAGCCTCCCTCCAGTCCGCCCCCGATCTCAAGCCTAACTCCGCAATGTCCACTTTCGGCCAAGCACGGTTGAGCGGAAGCTGAGGCAACTCCACCCCGCCAAAGCCACGGGTCCAGACGGCATCCCCGGGCGTGTACTCCGGCAATGCAGCAAAGAGCTGGCTGTACCAGTGTCGCGGCTCTTTTCGCAGGCCTTCCACCAAGGTCGGCAACCTACAATGTGGAAGACGGCAATGGTTGTGCCGGTGCACAAGAAAAAATCCAAGTCTGATGTTAAGAACTACCGCCCGATCTCCCTCCTCTCTATTCTGTCGAAAGTCATGGAGGCCATTATCAACCACTCAATCCGACAGTTCCTGGAGGCACACAACATCTTATCGAAAAGTCAGTATGGCTTCCGCAGCCAACTCGGCACCCAGGACATACTCACGCAACTCAACTACCAATGGAGTCGCGTTGCAGCCAGAGGTGGTGTGGTCAGAGTCATTGCAGTTGATGTGGCTGGCGCATTCGACCGCGTCTCTCATGTAGGCGTTTTGCACAAGGCACAATGCTTTGGTGTAACTGGTCCACTTCTCGCTTGGCTGAGGGATTACCTGACTGATCGTCACTTGAGGGTTGCAGTTGGAGGTGAACTTTCCAGTCCGTACCCGACCAAAGCTGGCGTGCCGCAGGGCAGTATCCTTGGTCCCACCCTGTTCATCCTCTACACCAATGATGGCGAGGACCACCTCCCACCAGGTATGGAGCTAGCAGCCTACGCTGACGACACCACTCTCTTCCACTGCCTCACATCAAGAGCTGACATTGACTGTGGCTCCGAGCTCCTCCAGCAGGGCATTGATGCGTTTTCCCGTTGGGGACATAAGTGGAGGATCAAATTTGAGCCCTCCAAGACGCAGGCTATGTCTATAGGCCACCATCGCCAGCCCTGGGAGCTCCCTCGAGCAACATTTGATGGCACACCGGTCAGTGAAGAGAGACGGCTGAAACTCCTGGGAGTCACCTTTGACGACACCCTGAGCTACTCCTTCCACCTCCGCTCCCTAGCTTCCCGTGCTAACCAGCGGATTGGCTTCCTGAAGCGAGCGTCTCCCATTCTGGACGCCGAGAGCCGCCAACGCGTGTACAACGGCTTTGTGCGACCCACACTCGAGTATTGCCCCTTAGTGTGGATGGGCTCACCCTCGTCCCATCTTAAGAAGCTGGAGCAGATCCAGCGAAGGGCCCTCCACATCATCGGAGCAGGTACTTGGCTCCCTAGCCTGGCACTCCGTCGCCTGGTAGCTGCACTTGCCTATACCTACAAGCTCTGCTATCTAGATGCATCTAGCCCTCTGAAGCAGATGCTGCCTAAACCAGCCACTCACCGTGCCCCCGAGACAAGACCTACCCGTCAGTCTCTCCAGCTGCAGGATTCCCAACCATACCAGATGACAACTGGCCTGCCTGCCAACACCCGGAATAGCTGTCTCCAAGGATTCCCTGCTTGCACCGTTGCAACATGGAATGCCCTGCCACCAGACCTGTTCCACCACCCACCCGCCCAGCCCCACATGCAAAGCTTTAAGAAAAAAGGTGTACCGTCACCTTGTGTACCGTCACCTTCTTGCTCAGGACTGGCTCTCTGCTACTGATGCACTTTGAATCTGCTCGCCAACGCTTTCCCTGTTCTTATTAGTGTTCAGCTGCTTACCTTATAACCCTGCTGCCATCATCACCAATATTCTGATTCTCATGCACATGTCCCAGAACCTGCTATCCTTCGCAGTCCCCATCACCAAGAGAACTGTGCTCTTCTATCTCCCAGCTCTCTATCTCTCTCTCTCTCTCTTTCTCTCTCTCGCTCTCTCTCTCTCTCTCTCTCGCTCTCTCTCTCTCTCTCTCTCTCTCTCGCTCTCTCTCTCTCTCTCTCTCTCTATCTCTATCTCTCTCTCTCTCTCTCTCTCTCTCTCTCTCTCTCTGTCTCTCTCTCTCTCTCTCTCTCTCTCTCTCTCTCTCTCTCTCTCTCTCTCTCTCTCTCTCTCTCTCTCTCTCTCTCTCTCTCTCTCTCTCTCTCTCTCTCTCTCTCTCTCTCTCTCTCTCTCTCTCTCTCTCTCTCTCTCTCTCTCTCTCTATCTCTCTCTCTCTCTATCTCTATCTCTCTCTCTCTCTCTCTCTCTCTCTCTCTCTCTCTCTCTCTCTCTCTCTCTCTCTCTCTCTCTCTCTCTCTCTCTTCTTCCCTTCTTCTCCCCCCCCCCATCTCCCGATAATTATTAGCCCCCGTTTTCTTTCGACGCGTTTGCTGTGCAGTGAAGCCGAGACCCTAGGTCGGTGGAGCACATCAGATCCCGTCACCACGTCCACGATTCATGCCTGCGATGCTGCACCGCTGCTTTGCTTGTCATGATTGGAAGCTGTGGCCTTAGTAAAAAAAAAAAAAAAAAAAAAAAAACTAACTGTGCGTGCTTCATCAGGAAAGTCAGACAGGCGCTGCTGAGCAATCGACTTGGTACTGAGTCCTTGAGAAATTCTAGTTATTTTTGAGCCTCCTGAGCTGGACTCGGCAAAGGCAGTTCTTTTGGACAACGCTACAATGTTGCTGTTGTTGCTGTTGTTGCTGTTGTTGTTGTTGTTGTTGTTGTTGTTGTTGTTGTTGTTGTTGTTGTTGTTGTTGTTGTTGCTGCTGCTGCTGCTGCTGCTGCTGCTACAGCAGCTACTGCTGTGGCTGTAGTTACAGCCCCTCTCGTTGTCAGGAAATGTTTGCTTGTGCTACTTCTCATCCAGTTGACTTCTTATTATGACTTTGCACGGTATAATTTTGTTGAGCTCCGGTTTTCCCCTTCATTCTAACTCAAGTGCAGTTTAGCGTGTATTGGCTTGTGATTTCCTTTCTTCTGTTTGCTTGGCATTTTATCGCTCCACAGGTACCCTCGGTCTCAGGTGCTCTCACATTTGTGCAATTGTTGATTTTGGTCCTGAATTGTCCTCCCTGTTGCTTTGCTACCGTCCTCCTCCTTCCTCCACCTTTTTTTTCTTAATTGTCCTCATTATGGCATTCGCTTCCATGTAATTGGGCTTGTAGCCCGTGTGTACTTGCGAATTCAAATAAAAATATACATACATACATACAATCATAACGTTTTTATGTAGCAATAGTTATGTAGCGTTAGTGCTAAAGGTGTTACGTGTCCACACAATCACAAAGTCATGCGCCGGTACAATGCATAGTGCTCAAATGCCCGGAATGGGCGGAGCGTAGTACGCAAGAGGTACACAAAAGGAGTAAAATAGGTCTGTTTCGTTGTTACTCAGAGTTTCAGGGCAAAAACTAATCATCAGACAACATCTCATGATCATGATTGTGGACGATTGTTGCCAAAAACCTGGGATTTCCCGATATTATCCACTATGAAACTCGTTATGCCGCTCAAACCTCACATAATGCTCGTTTTGTTCCTTTCTAATGTTCCATAATGCTCGGATAGTCGTATAATGCCGAATTTAATGCCGGCATTATCCGCTGGACCCTACTCACACCCCAGTATGGCAACCTTCCCATGTCTAACCTCCAATACGAAGTGAATACAATACAGTAGAAGTAGCAAGAGTACATTGAAAAGTACATTTTGTACGTTTACGATTGTACTCTTGCTAGTGGTCCTAGCGGCCGAAGATTACAAAGATCGTAAGTGCGTAGTTTCTAGGCATATGCGGATAATGCCGGCAGAAAAATTGGCAGAATTCGGTACTTTTTCTTGTAAGTTTCATGCATGTTTGGTACATGTATGTGGATAAAGAAAATAATGGAGCAGAATTCGAGGAATTGCCCGCCATAAGGTTTGTATGGTTCTGCCAATTTCAATGCTTTTCCAGCAGATTCTGCCACCTTTTCGAGCATAATCCGCCAATGCCTAGTAGTTTCTCACCTGTTGCTCGTTTCTTATCAACCCTTTTTATTACTTCAAGTATTATTTTTTATTTCACCGTCCAATGAAATAATCCTTCTTTCATATCTGGCTTGCAAGTGTCGAGTTTCGGAGAGAAAAGAGCAGTACGTGGCATGTGGCCTCTAATTTCCTAATACTTTGAAATTCTCCGTGAAGTCCAAATTTGAAATTGCAATTTTGTATTTGCTCGCAGTGGACATAGTTTGATGCGCTCCCCATGATATCTAGCGAATGGCCGAGGGCCCTCTTGAGTCTTGTTTGGTGTGAGTTGCCAGTGTGATGCAAGCCAGATGTGGATTGATCGAAGAAGGATAGATTTACTATCACTGACACTGTGGACAAGAGTCATACTGTAGCTCAGTTGGTTAGAGCATTGCTCGCGAATGCAAGGTCCCAATGATCATGGTCTACCCATTGCACATTGGGACACCACTAGTAAGGCACTACAATGTAGATGTGTAGTAGATCTACGAGTACAGCACTGCTCAATGAACTCCAGTCGCGTCACTCAAGTTTGCGCCTTGCATCATTTCACAGCCCGGTGTTCGCAGGTCTAGGGCTGCGCAGCGCCCGGCGCGTACCTGAGTGACGTGACTTGAGTCCATTGAGCAGTGCTGTCTGACTGTAGTCGTAGATCTACAAGCAAAGAACACGGTTCGAACGGAACTTGAACCAACGAAATCTCACGCCGGTCCGGGACAGTGCAGCGAAGATTTTCGGCCAGCTACGAAATATTGTCAACACAAATGTACAGAAGAAAGATTTGGTGTACACGGAGACACCGCAGTGCTGCTCACTTTCATTTTGACAGAATATGGTTGAGATTTGAAGAGCCAACAATGCACTCGAGTGACCCGAAAGAAGTTGTTAGTAGGATTGAGGTAGCCGCGCCATGATATCTACAATATTCACATCACTCATAGTTCGGTCTTCGATTCCCCTCTCCAAAGGCAGCTTGACTGAAGTTCGGGCAGTGAAACAAGGTCGTAACGAAGGAAACGTCTTTCTCCGCTCCGGCAAGCAGGTTCGCTAGGGACGTTAGCGCCTGGTCCGGCAATGCGCCCGTTGCCTCCTCTGGTGCTGCTTGCAGTGGCCTGTTTGGTGACAAGCGTGGCTTCAAACGATGGTAAGGCTTTGCCGCACGAATACAATAATGAAAATGGAAATCTCAGTATCCGTGTTCACGTGCGCTGTCAAAAAAAGAGTGTGTTTGAGATTCAGGTTAGACCGCGGTCACACATGAACAGTTTGCGCCGCTTTTGCTGAGGTGAAAAGCGTAACTAACGCAGCCGCTTTTGCGGAACACACAATGCAGCGGTCACACATACTGTGTTCCTCCACGTTCCGCTTTAGCAAAGGGAATGGAAGAACACGTACATATATACCCACATATATTTCGAAATGTTAGTAGATTCTGTCCGAGTTGAAGCGACCTTCACTTGCAGACCTATCATGTATCTTGATTGCCGACAGGCTGCTGCTGTAAGGCGCTTAATGTCTCTTGTCTCCTGTCCATCACCCTCATGGATGTGGGGCATATTCACTGCCGCCCAGTACGGGTGTGTTCGACTTTTAGTGTATTTTACATCGATATCAAACGGGTGTGTAGCAGGGTTTCATTGCCTTCTCCATCATCGAACCCAGTGTGGATGCCTGTAGTTGCAGTGAGGGAGTTGTAGAGTATTCTTTTACTGCCGGGTTGCATTCCTAGTGTTGCATACTCTGGTGTGGCGGGTGTATTGCTGCAGAGAGAACAGAAACGTCGTCCCTTCTGGTCCGTGATTAGGGCCAAGGATTTGGGAGACGGATTTCCTCACCAACTACCCACACATAACGATGCTGTACCGCTTGCTCAGATTTCCAGAACGTACAGGGCCTTGGCAAAGAAGAGAACGATGAAAAAATACCAAACGACAACCAAACCACACAGTGGCACACCAGAGCCATCACCATGCAGGTTCCGCCAAAGTGGATCCGCATAAGAGGAGGTTTCCCTCGTTTTTTTGGCGTAGCGCAATCCAAACTTTCGCCAAAGCGGCGCTGCCAAAACAAGTGCATGTGTGACCGCGGCCTAAGGGAGTGACAAACTGAGACGTTGCGACATCGGCGGTAGAAGTTTCTCCTGAGAAAGGTTGGAGCTCCCGCTTCTTGCCGACAGACTTCAAGACACTTGACTGACTCATAACTGCCGTCTGGAGCTTACAAGACAAATGCCGGACTGTCCACTCGGCAAACCTGCAAGAAAACACAAGCTCCCTGCTCCATACAATCGGAGCACAAATTCGTAAGTCATTCAAGTGTCAGTCCGTTGGCAGGACACGCGAGCTCCAACGAAATTGGACCGGCCAGCCATCGTCCTCTAAAAGAGCTACCGACAATACATAATACAGCCAACTCTACTTATAACGAACTCCCATATAGCGAATTTCCTGATATAGCGCACCGTTGTCTATGTCACTATTTGAACCCACCCAAAATACCCCTTTGTAGCGAACCATTTCCGTTGATAATGAACAAAATCTTGTAGGGCCGCATCTAAACCAAGTGCACTCATACAGTCATGGATCACATGTCAGCCACGACTGGCTGCTTGTGTAATGTGAGTGCATTTCTGTTTTAAAGAACTTCGGGCTTGGTACACTGTATGAAGAAATAATTCTCCTGCGCTATGAGCACTGTACATGTAGAGTGAGGGCAGAGCCCCACCAGCCTGTGTAGTATCACAAGAAGCGCGAGTTCCAAAGACCGAGGGAAATGTTGAACGGTCTCTGTTTGGATGACAGCCACGTGTACACCATCGCTCAGTGGTCAGGGCTTCAAGGGAAATTCCCTGGTTCGAGTCCTGGCGGTGACAGTCATTTTTCTTCAGACTTTTCTCGTTTCGTTTGCATTCCCTCAACCAGTGAATATCTCATGCACAATGGTGTTCGTTTTGTCAGCAGTCGACTGCATATTTGTACAAAATGAAACAGTGCACCAAGGCTGATGTGTTGCTGCTCAGTGGGTTTCCGCCCATCCCCTTCCCCTTCGCCAGTGGCATTTGAGCTCCTTCAGCACACTAGATGCAAAACTTGTAAACACGCTCTAGGTGTTTCCTCAGCTGTGACAAGAGAAGGATTTTTCGGTTTTTGCCTAGAAACATGAGAAAGAGAAAGAGGAAATAGGGGGCTTCCAGGTGATCTGAACGGGTCCTATGGTCTGCCCGGGGGGGGAGCAGACAATGCATCCTGAAACCAATGCACTTTTAAAATGTCAAGCTTCTAAAAAGGACGAATAGGCACTTAGGCTGCCACTACTTATGGCACTGCGATGACTTTTACAAATAGTGCTGCAATCTATTTCCTTTACCATAGACGGTAACATTCATACTTGGGTTCAGGAGTCAGAAAACACTCGGTAACATAATTGAACGCTGTTTTGAGCAGTGGAAAACTACTGCGTTGGGGGTTACATTCTTTCAAAAATTTGCCTGAATTGTTGCCCTAAGATTGCTTTGGTGTGCATCTGGAGTTGGACGTGCTATTCTATATTGGGCAACTCATTTGTCTGGGTAGAGAGCACTGTGTGAGTGGGTATTGAGAAGTGTCTGAGCATAGCAATGTTCTTCCTTTGCCCTATTTTTTTTTCAGACGTGAATAATACGCCGCCAGTAAGGACTGATACACCAGACACATTGTCAGCTTCCAAGGTTGTCGACGTGCCACTGAGATCGGACGGCAAGCTAAGATGTGACTGCCAAGGGATATGGCGTTGTAGGAGTGACAGGGGCAAGCGGCGGAAGGCGCATTGTGTGGTGCATTACGGCTGGTGCGCCACCAAAGCCCAGGCCCACCCCTTCGCCGTCGCCGTCAATTTCGCTATCAACCTACCCCCGCTGACGATTCGCTTCTGTACACTGAATTACAGCGAGTGCGCAGCAGGATCACGAAAAGATTCAAATACGCTCTGCTGTAACAATCGGCGCTTTTGCAATGAAGCGTTAAGTCCTAAGTTGGCGATAATCTCTCCCCATTATACCACGGCAAGTGCAGAGGTCCCGACAACCAGTATCCAACAGCTGCCTTCCCTGCACACACCAGAAGGTAAGCAGTGAAAACAGTAGTAGTAACTTTTAACTGTGAGTTAAAGAGTGTCAACTGGCAACCGTGCTGGAGAAAAAAAATCCCTTGCCGGTTTGTACAAAGTGTAGTGCATACCCGTAAAGTCGTGTATAAAAGCCGCGGCTTATACCGTATGTCAGCGCCTTTAAAGCCATGGCCTTATATTTGAAACACCGCTGCTTTCCTAGATATTTTAGATGCAAAATGACTCACCCACTACGGCATGCCATAGAAGTCAAAGTCCACACAGAAATTTCAATCTACATCCACTTGTTCACCCTTCCTGCTGGGCTGTAAGTTTGTTAGCATAGTACTTATTCCTTTTTTACAAAACATACTTCAAATGTCATTTCATTTATGAAGCCCATGGCTTTATAACTGAGACTGGCTTTATAATCGAATATACCGCCATGGCTTTAAAGGTACGGACATACGGTATGACCTTTTGGGGGAAATTTTGCAGGCTTCTATATGAAACAGGCTTCTATACAAGACAGGTACTTCTATGTATGTCAAGACTAAAACCAGGCTTATGTGCCGACAGTGGATCTTGATTATCAGGCTTCTATTCAAAACAGGCTTTAATGCAATACATTACGGTACTCCACAAGGTTTCGCGGCTAGACAAAGAACCGAGCCACCTCATGTAACACATTACAAAAAAAATGTAGATAGTGGGACAGCTAGATGGCTGACCAGGTGAGCGGAGGAATGACCAGATGGACAGAGGGATGGAGAAAAGCCCTTTGCACATAACCTTTTGCCGATATTGCTTTAACTTTAAAAAATTGGCAGATTCTGATCCAAAACAGTGAAATTGGTGGGCACTTTCTTGAATTCTGCTGAGCTCCATTTCTTTATCCTCGTACCGAATATACATGAAACAGTACAAATTAGTGGTAGCGACTTCGGCGTTGATTTGCTTGGAAAGGATTTGCTCCCCACACTGGTGCTCGTGTTTTTCCGTCGACTTGACTTGACACTTGACTGACTCACGACTGCCATCCAGAGCACACGAGAAGTCCATTGAACCTTCCACTCCGCAAACCTGCAAGAAAGCACCGCTCCCTGCTCAATACACACTGCAAGCTCCAGTGTGGGGAGCAAATCCTTCTCATACATGAAACACACCAGAAGAAGTAACATATCCTGCCAATTGTTCTGCCGGCATTATCCGCCAAGGGCTATTTGCATGTAGACTGTACTTCAGCAGCGGACAGGCAAATGTTTCATTCAGTTGTTTTTTGAATTGATAAATGCAAATGTCTTGTGTGCTGCATGCTAAAATTTAATGATGTGGATCGAATTGTTATGGCTGTCTTGGCTGACTCTATTGGCACATATATGGTGCAGATGGGAGCATGCTGAGTTGTACGGCATTCCATTCTTCATCTCCTGTGTACACGATGTTGTACACGAAGCTAGGAGAACTAACCAACCCCTGGCAGGTTTGGGAAATTTTTCGGTGGATAGTTGCTTAAATTTGCCAAAAGAACAGTTGGATAAAGGGATAACGGTAGAAAGTGAAAAGGACTGAATGGTGTGTGTACACACCTATCCATGTGTCACTGGGTGTGTGTGTGTGTGTGTGTGTGTGTGTGTGTGTGTGTGTGCACGTGCATGTACATGTATGTTTATGATTACCGTACTCACGCGACTAGTGCCCCTGGTGCACTATTTTTTCAATGTCCAACACAGACGAGGCACTATTCAAGAGAGGGCACTATTTTTTAATGCTGGTAGATTCACGTCATCCAGCATAAAAACAAAGAAGACAAAGAAAAACGGAGCTTAAAGTTTACCGTAAACTATCACTACTCCACAGAACGGGCAAGAAGAACTTCGATTCTGATCCTGAAACCGCCAGTGTAATGAAATGGACAAGAACATTAGCAAAAGAACACCAAAGTTGCACATGCGTTTGGTACAAGCCCGAGTGCACGGGCATGCGTGAGTATGTGTCTATGGTCATGTGTGGGTGCATGCATGTGCATATGTGGGTGCGCTGCGCACATGTCTGGCCTTCTGCTTCTACAGCCGATGTGGAAAATCCGGAAATGATCGGAGCAACAACACAACGATCGCCTGCGGGAAGCGGGGATGTCATCACGCTGAACGGGTGACTGTTTCAACGGTTGGGGTACTGTACGTAGATGAACAACCATCTTTGCAAGACCCGGTCGCAGTAGACTCGACGAGCATCCCTGACATTGTTATAGCTGCGCACAGTGCAACCAGTTACCCACGCTGCTGTGGCTGCGCCATTAGTTGCCATAGTGGCACCATGGAAACAGCCCAAACAGGTTTTAAACTTCACTCCTCAACTGCAATGATTGTACTCAGTGTATTCACCGTGATTATGGGCCAGGACCAACATTTGGTGGAATATAAATTGTTCTTACATGACACGTGACAGTTGCCCAGGCCGTGGCCAATAGGCAGCCTTCCCGCCGCGGGTCTAATTAGGCCATCAGGACCGTTTGGGTGATTAGTGTGTATCCATGAGACGCACACTGCATTTAAGGATCTCGAGTGAGCGAGGAGATGGGTAAATCACTATTAATCTCGATCACTCTCATACATTGAATGTTGCATGATGCAGACAACGTGCTCAAGATCGGAGCGTAGAGCAGACAGACAAATAGCTCCCCTTTTTTAATCAGTTTGTGGCGCTTCTGGGGTGCACCGGCCGATTGGATTTCATTTACCAGAACTGTAGTTCAACAGCTCTTCAAGTTCTGCTTCAGATCATGACCTGAACTTGGTACCCTCTGTTTATCACCATGACCTTCACTCATGTCACTATGCCACTATGGCTGCGTGTTGCGTACATGTATGTGGAAAACTCATTCTGACTGGGCCTCAATAGAACCGTGAAATCTGTGTTGAGCTCCTCAAGTACATTATCATGTACATGTACATGTATGTGGTATGGTTGGTTTACGCTTACGATTTGATTCCCTGACCGCCGACCTGGTCAAAACCGTGGCCATGCAGGCAACGTGCTCGGCAGGTCCCTCTGGTCTCGACTCGTCAGCATGGCGACGTATGTGCTCGGCATACAAAGGTGCCTCCAACAACCTTTGTTCGGCGATGGCGTCCTTTGGCCACTCGTTAGCAACACAAACCTTGCCGCCAGACTCTCTCACCCCCTTCACCGCCTGTCGTCTAATTGCGATGGACAAGAACCCAGGTGTCAGGCCCATTGAGGTGTCTGAGGTCCTCCATAGCATTCTAGCCAAATCCATCCTCCGAGTAACATCAGAAGATGTAATGGAGGCCAGTGGTTTTCTGCAGAAGTGTTGTCCGGATTGCCAGCTGGGATAGAAGCAGCGGTCCACGCCATGAAGCGCTTGTATGAGGACCCCACAACTGAAGGAGTCCTACTAGTTGACGCGAAGAATGCCTTCAATTGCCTGAACTGCCAAGCAGCTCTTAACCACTTGTGTCCTTTCCCTGGCTACCACACTGCTGAACTGCTACCAAGATGATGCCTGCCTCTTCGTTTCTGGTGGCGGCGAGCTTTCCTCTGCAGAGGGTACCACACAAGGCGGCCCTCTGTCGATGGTTTTCTATGCCCTCGCTACATTACCAGTCACCTCCGCACTACCCACACCAACATCCGTCAATGGTGGTATGTACATGTAGATGATTCAAGTGGTGCAGGCAAGCTACAGGCCTTTCGACGTTGGTGGGATGATGTGGACGAGACTGGGAGACCCTACGGTTACCATGTCAACGCCTCGAAGACTCTCCTCCTCGTCAAGCTGGATCTGCTCAACCTGGCCCACAGTGTCTTTGCAGGAACTGGCGTTGACGTGGTCACGGATGGAGCACGCTACCTGGGTGCCGCTATAGGGACACCTGATTTCATCGCTGGCTATACAGCTGGGAAAGTTCAAGACTGGCAGCAAGAGCTTATGCGACTGTCCGAGATTGCCACTACCAAACCTCGTGCGGCGTATGCCTCCCTCACACACGGGCTGCGTGGTCGATGAACATATCTCCTTCGTACACTGGAATAAGCTATCTCCTTCGTACACTGGAATAAGCTATCTCCTTCGTACACTGGAATAAGCTATCTCCTTCGTACACTGGAATAAGCTATCTCCTTCGTACACTGGAATAAGCTATCTCCTTCGTACACTGGAATAAGCTCCCCACGGGGACATGTGGAGTAAGCTTCCCAGGGAGCTTTTTTATTTTATTTTTTTACACTTGATACTACTGGAGGAACTCCAACACTCGGACACGTTTCTTGCGTCTTTGAGCAGCTCGACTGTTGCCTGGTGTACATTTGGCCTGCCGAAACTGGTCCGGCTGATCAGGTCGTAACCGGACCAACCTTTTTTAGGCCACCAACACCGTCATGTCTACTGCTGAGGAGTTCATCTGTGTCTGGCATATCTTACACACAGTATGAAAGGCTATCGTATAGCCGTACCAATCAAAAACTGCTTCCAGTGGTCATGTACATGTACATGTACGTGAGACTGAAGGGTAGGCAAATTTCCAAACAGCAGCGAGCTAGCTAGCTCAGCCATGGCGCTAGCAAGGCGGTTTCTTTAGGAACGCAGGCAAGCTGGCACAAGCTGGCACAAACACAACTGCTGAACACAATCTTCTGTGAACTCGGTCTAGGACTTAACCGACATGACATGTTGTATTGCTTGCAATTTTGACAGCAAAAGTATTGACTAAAGGGTTCGGACATCTTCGCCACCATCGACCAATTGTGTTTAGAAGCCCAACCACAGAATCGGCTTATAATGTAGGCATGGGCGGGTAATGCATTATGGCTGGCATTATAACACCATTTCGCATGCAAAATTGGCATTACAAGCATAATAGCCGGTCGACAACGGTGTCATGCATGAAGCTGGCTAGGTCCAGTTCCGAAAATCGTGCATCTGAACCCGTCCGGCTTCGTCCGGAGACTTGACGTTGCAAACCAACCTTCTTAGTGGATTGTCAGTGGAAGCTTCCTCACTGCTGTTTAATTTTTTTCTTTCTTCTACGCTTTGGCCTTGATCCAAGACGACCTTCCTAAATCGACTTTTCCAACTTTCAAACTGGCATTGTGGAGTAGTGTGAGCATTATAAGTGGCATTATATCCTCATATTGTGAGCATCGCCTTTAGCATTATCGCAGCAAATAACTAGCATTACCCGCCCATGCCTATTATAATGTGCTTACGTAGATTAGGCCTTGACGGATTATGCTAGCATAATTTTTCGCATAATTCCTACCAAAATCGAATAATCGCATAATTGGAGGCAAATTGCATACAAATCGCATAAATTGGAATAATCCGCCTGTTCGCATCAAATTCCATACAATTGTACAATGTTCTGCAAGTACAAGTACCGGTAGATGCACCAGGAAGTCGTAGGTTTACGACTCCCTTGATAACATGTCCAGTCCACTACAATCAGTGAAGGCAAGAGTACATAAACCGGTTTATGTACTCTTGGTGAAGGTCGTAGCTAGGTCGGACGGTGCGTTGACCCCGTTGAACTTTTGCTACCACATGTACGGTACAACGCCCTCTACAAAAAAATCCCCTGTTATTTTGCACAGAACCATCATAATATTAGCAGCATATGTGAGCATAATGCGGCATAATATGATAACTTTTAGCATAAAAATAGCATAATTCTGCAATTTTTTCAGCAATGCGAAAAGCATAATTTCACGAAAATATTAGCATAATCTGTCAAGGCCTAACGTAGATGTACATGTACGTGTACATGTGCAAAATTTGGGAAAGTATGAGTGCGTTTAGATTGCATTTGTTACTAGTGCCATGTGTGGCATGTCACGTGGCCCTGAGTTCTACCCATACTTGTTCTTTCGAGCCAGACACATATACACTATACACTGTACACTGTACACTGTACACTGTACATTGTACATTGTATACACACAAAAAGCACAACGGAGGTTTACAGATTTGTCGCAACTCAGAGTTTCTTGCTCAATGCAATCATCAGGCAACTTATTATTATGTTCAGTGGGACTGGGCCCTTATATAGCATAGTTTGGTGATATACACAAGTCGATGTACATTTACATCGACTAATTCTGAGGTGTGCAGCTGATCAACCACGAGTTCTTTTTTAGAAAGGGAGTTTAAGGCACACACGGTTTTTGATCTGAGTCCCACTTGGATAAACTGACTTCATCTACATGTGCATGTACATGTACATGTGACTTGTAATTCGCTTTCCTTGCTCTACACTGCATGACTGCTTGATCAAGAAGAAGAGGCAGCATTGCTTGTCGTACACCCTGCTCCCCCCCCCCCCCCCCCCCCTACTGCCCCCCCCCCTACTGCCCCTGCCTTTTTTAATAGCTACATGTACATGCCATGATGCGCCGTGAGAGACAGACGGATGTCTGAGCGTTGCATGTTTTGCCACTGAACCACTAAGAGAAAGTCGTTTCTCCTAGTAACCTCTGCCTCACCCATACACAAAACTATGAATTGTGCAATCATGTATGTACATACATGTACAACATACAGAAGCCTGCGATGTACACATGCGTGACAAACCGGTGCTTTCTCAGTTTTGGCCGCATGATAGCCTAGATCGACATGCTTTGTATTGTCTTCGTGTACATTGTAGATGGTTTCCACCGCCTTTCTGGCAGCTCAATGCCACACATGTACATGTATGATTTGTAGCATCGTAACACGCGTGTCACATCTGTATGTGTCTACGTCATCCTTCTTTGGCAAGTTAGTTACAAAGTTAGTTATGCGAGCAGTGTAGGCACGTCAATCAGCTTTGCACGATCGGTCATATCGCCAAAACACCATTCGGTCCTTGCCAGCCCGACACAACTCACATTCTGGCCATGTCCCAGCGCTGCACCACTGACTTCAGGCTTCAGTGCTGACAGTTACCCTAACTAGCCCGCCCAACTCTCCGCGCTCTTGAGCCGAAATGGAGTGTTGACTTTGTCACACTGCATCACACTTCCAACGTGTATTTGCCACACCCGATCCAGCCGCAGCTCGCGTAGTGGCGAGCCTCACGCCAATTGCGCGTGTCGCCCGTCGTAAGTTCACGCATCTCAGCCCGATCCAGTTGGAAACACCAACCCCAGTGCCCCCACTTGCTAGTCTGGTTTTAGACCGTGATGATCAGCTGCTTAATATTAAAAAAGTATACAGACAGGGAAAACCACTAAGCATACTACGGTGCTTAGACGAATGCAATAGGGTTATTAATAGAAACAATGATGGGCTTTTGAGTTCGTGATGGGTCGATACTTCGAAGGAAAATGGTGCCTGTCCCGCAGCTGATAGAGCCTGTTTCTATGAGTATCCCACTATTGTCGTATCAGCTCTTTCCATCACACTCATCATTGGTACAAATGGTGTCGAGAGTCGTCAATG